GATTTTAAACTATTCATTTTGGCCCTTTTAAAATCACCCAAAAATGTGAAATTGCGATTCTTAAAAATTAACATATATTGTGTGTTCCGGTCTGTTAGTGTTTACAGGATGTTTACGATCCTGAGTGAATAAGACACAAGTCCTAATCATTTTTTTTATTCGTAATTGAACCATCTGTTAGTTTTACGAAAAAAATCAAAAGCATTGTTATGACGTGTACTATCGTTGGGCAGTTTTTTTTGGGTTATTTGGTAAAAATAATACGCTTTCCAGTCCACTTAAAAATAACAAGGTAAGTTATTTCTTATTTAACATTCGCTATAGCCACTTTCATTTGTAGGCCTAACTTCCAATAGAAAACTAACAGACTCTTGTAGGCCTAATTCATTAATAACATTTTAATCAGAAATATCCTTAATTGATAACAAATTGTGACTAATATACTGAATAACTTACAAAAGTCAACTCTTCCAAAAACTTTACTCGATTAATCACACACCGAATATTTCACTGAATTCTGGAATAATTTCCTACTGGGAATAACTAATATATCCATGTCTAAATATCAGTCAAAGTTACTACATTCTTGACGTCATCGTAAACTTTCTTGATGATCTTGGAATATTTTAACAAACGTGTTTGATCTCCTTGATCTTAACGTAATGGGCCTTCTAGCAAACATCTAAATTAAAACAATAAAAAATTAGTATACAGCACTATCGTTCGAGCATTGGTTTATGATCCTTACTTAATAAGGCACTAATTGTACTCATTTGAATTATTTTTATACATGGCGGAACCATCTGTTAGTGTTCTGCTTGTGAACTGTGCTTTTTACCTCCAACGTTACTCTGTCCATGAAATATTAACGTTAAAACATGTTATTGCGTAACTAAGTTCATTTCTGTTTCCTCTCAGTCTTCTCGTAAACTGATATTTATCAATACCAACCAGTGAAAAAATAACAACAGTGTCGTAGTCGAAATTTGGGAGAAAAGCATTACAGATAAAAAATAAAAAATAGGTCTCTTTCCCAAGGTTCTTCAACCCATTAAAAAGAGAGAGAGAGAGAGACAGTCACGTAGACACACCACTCTTGAAAGTGAGCCATCGCCAGAGGATGAAGTTGCCTCCCCGACTCAAGTCACTATAACCTCCTACTTACTATACGCTACGAAGCCTTATTAGGGGCGTTGCCTTACGACATAGAGGTACACTTTACAAATGGTCATTGACACTCACCAAATTAAACTAAAATAAAAACTGTCTTATAAATCACAAATTAAATTCTTTGTTAAAAAAAAGGTATGTTGACCGTGGAGTTTTTAGTATACGCGATAGATTAGCAATAAGGACTTGCCTATCTGGTTTGAAGTTTGTTTTTAAGTGCAACATTTCGATCTGCTAGCGCGATCTTCATCAAAATGTCACTGTAAAACAGACGAAAATCGTTCTCAATATTAGTTTATAGTAGTTAGAAAATTTTCTTTTTGCCTGTTGTGAGAAACGAGTCTGTTTGTAATTTTTGTTTTAGGGTGTCAATTTCCAGTAAAACGAACTTACTACATAAAAAAAACGAAATCTTTCAGCTTCAATTACGGATTTTGAAGAAGTAAAAACGTCAGTCCGTGGCCCAGTGGGTAGCATGTCCGGATTGTGAATCGGAGGGGGTTATGGTTCGCATCCCGTTACCGCTAAAATTAGCCTGTTAAATATTCGCCTTCCATCTAGTCAGTTTCAAGACTATTGTGTGCAGACAGCCATCGTGTATTTTTAAACGTAAATTCAAAAGAATGAAAAAAATTCACAACTTTTGGTGAGAAACCTTTTTTGTTGTTGTTTTAAACACAAAGCTACAAAATGGGGTATTTGTGCTATGTCCACCACAGGTATTGAAATCCGGTTTTTAGCGTTATAAGTCTTCAGACTTAGCACTCGACCACTGTGGGAGGGAGCAAGAAACTGATAATGTTCGGGTATCAAATTCCCAATTATAAGAGATACAAAAAGATCTTTCAAAATTAACCCCAAAATCAAGCAACGAAACTTTTTTTTAATATAATGTTAACACAATAAGTGATAAATAAATACCAAAAAAGTTTATTATCTCCCTTATGTGATTAAGGCTAAAATATTTTACTGCCTATCATATAATGATATATATTAATTGCATCAGCTAAAAGGATTACATTAATACGTAATTTTACATAAATATTCAAAAACAGAGAAAATTTAATAATAATAATAAATTTATTTATATGACAAATTATCTAAAAAATATATATTTGCTGTTTTCACTATGACATGAACCTTGATAATTTCAACTCTGCTTATATATCAGATAGATTAGTAGATTACACTTCTATCATGGCACAACTACACTAGATTAGATAATATTGATCAACCAGATATAACATGGCCTTGGAAGAAAAATACCCAATTAATTCACCCACAGTTTGGCAGAGCTTATGAAGTTAGCTCTCATTGTAATCTTGATAATGCAGTTGTGGTGCTAATATTTACTAACTGATTTAGTTATGTTCTATAAAACTTCCTATTCTGTCTGAAATATGGCAAACTTGTGTTCTTATCAATTTAGTAAAAATTCTGATGACTTTTACAGTGTTTGTCATTTACTTTTATTTGGAAATAAAGTTTTATAACATATAAATGCTTTATTGCAAAATATAAATAATAGTGAACCTATGAACCTGAAACGTTGCATTTATACAGACTTAAGACAATACTAAACACCACTAACAATGTTGACTGATTCAAATGTGAACATACAAAGAATTTGGAATGTTGTCAGTGTTTTGGTCATAAAAAAAAAGAATATTACCATATATTAAGCTTTCCTTTACAGCAATTTTAACCAATTATTGTTTATTACAAGACTGTTGTTGTTTCTTAGGCTAACTAATTAAAATATATCTGAATTCTCAAAACCAAAGTTTCATTATACATGGTTATTTAATCTCAACATCTAAAGTATCATTGGCATCTGGATACAGCCCAAGCTCACACAAGTGCTTCAATGTTTAATGGTTATTTTAGTGTTGTTGTTTGTTATTAAGCACAAAGCTACACAAAAGACTCTCTGTGCCCTGCCCACCACAGGTATCTAAACCCAGTTTCTAGCAGTACAAGTCCATAAATATACCACTGTGACACTGGGGTGGGGGGCTATTTTAGTGTATCAATGCTCTTTGGTAAGGTATAAAAACAATCACATGCAAAAATTTACAGATCTCAATGTTGTATTTATATACACACACACACAAAACTGCTTAAAAAACTATCTTTTCTGCTTTCACAAAAACACAATTTAGATGTATTGTTCAACTAGACTTTATACTCCCAC